TCTCTCTCATCTCTCTCTCATCTCTCTCTCATCTCTCTCATCTCTCTCCCTCTCCCTCTCTCTCTCTCTGTCTCACTTTTTCTTTTGAAATAGGATTTTATTTTGAATAGCATGAATTTCATTATATTAAAATTATTTTTTATTCCCAGCTTGTACATTATGCTTTCAAAAATACATTTTGTTTAAAAATGTATTAAATTCACAATTCATCCATTTGCATGTTAAATTTAATATATTAGTTTCTTCTTTTTTTTTAAAAAAAAATTGAAATTAGCATTTTTGGGGAAACTTTAATAATTTACTATTAACAAAAATTTCATGGATAAATATTTATATTCTTTTTGCCTTTAGTTAATTAATTGATTACACTGTTTCGTTGCTGATCACTTCTTTTAACAGTAATTTCTAACAGTTAATCAAATTTGTATTTGAATATTGAAAAATATTTATTTTTGAATATTAAAAAAAAGCAATCAATTGGAAAAGCATATAACAACTGAAGTAACTGATAATATAAAAATTTGAATTTAATAGAAATGATCGATATTAAAAAAGTTAAAATGATGGCAAAGAATATTATAAAAGAATTCTACAATAAATGAAGCAAATAAAATATATAATTGGGAATGTCATTAGCTAACTGAGAAATCCGAGGTTTTAAATGAAATTTAATAATTTTTTTTTTTTGATTACAGGAGCAATGTGTTATAAATTATATGATAACACTGTAACATTTAATGAAGCTATTCAACGTTGCAAAAATGAAAGAGCTAATTTGGTTAGCTTAACTGATATCTATGAAAACGGTAAGTGTATAATATTAATATTTCATTTTTAAATTCATTTAAAGAATGAGGAGGAAATTTTTGTTGTAACAGTTAAATAGCTTTATTCCTTACTTAAAAACTAATGATTTATTGATTTTTGATAGGATTTGTTGCATCAATGTTGCAAAATTTAAATAGTAATGCATGGATTGGTATGGATATGACCGATGGCCGAGTGCGATGGCTCGATGGTGAACCATTGAAATTAATCCGTTTCGGTCCGGATAATAGGGTAATCCGGATCGGTGGTGATCGGCATATTTTTCAAAATGTTGGTCAAGCAGGTTTTTCCAATGAGGTTATCATATAGCTTGTTTTTTATATTTATATTTTTGATTTTCATATCATATATTTATATTCTTATTTATATTCATATTCATGTTTTGTACCTATAATTTACTTTGTTTTAAAATATACCCATATTTGCCTTAACATTTGCATGTAAGTAAGTATTTATTTTGCATATAAGTAAGAAATATATTTCGAACATTTAAACTATTTCATTAAATTGGAAATATTTCCAGGCTTGCGTTGCATTGGATGCTACTAATACCATTGGATATTGGGATATTATCTTCAATAAAACTAGTAAGTTTCATTTGGATTCCAAAATATTTCAGTGATTTGAAATCTAATCTATTTTCATTTTAATAATTATCTTTTTGCATACGATAAATGATTATTATACAGAATAAGTTAAAATAAGTTAAAAAATGGAACATATGATAAATTAATTTATGGTTATTAATTCTGTAAACATTAAACTATTTTTGGATCATGTTGATTCCCTGATATTACAAGAAAAATAAAAAGAAGTCTTAAAAGATCCTAGCTGATCTTTTCTATCATTAATTAATCTTAGTGGATCTTAGTTGTAATAGATCCTAGCTGATTGATCAATCCTAATAGATTCTAACTGACTGATCAGTCTTAATAAATCCCAGCCGATTGATAAGTCCTGATAGATCCCGTGATTGATCAGTCTTAATGGATCTTAGTTTACTGATCACCCTTAATTGATCCCAGCTGATTTGTTTTGTCCATCATCGATCATTTTGCTCAAAAACAAAACCAATTCATGAAAGCTTCTCCTTTAAGTAAATGCTAAACTATTGCACCATGCAGCGGGACATTTAGTTTAATAGTCAAATAATGTTTTAAAAAATCCATGTACTTTATGAGAAATGTAAATTTAACTAAGATTTGTCGTAATCAAGCATTTTTGTAGCAATCTCAAATAATTTTACACAAAAGGTATTGGCAGTTCTTTTATTTGTCAAAATAGTGATTTAATCAAAGTTTTCAAAAGACAATTATTTTTATCTTTGAAATTTTTCAAATTCGAGATTTGTAATTTTGAAAATGACAATTACTGAATATTCAGATTACGTTTTCCCTGGTGGTTCAAAAAAAGCTGATAATAAATCAAGCCAATGTGATACATTGAAACTGCCATATATCTGCGAGGCCTATGCAGGTAAAAAGGATTGTTGAAAGTTTATTAAGCCGAAGAGGACTTTAATCAAAAACATTTTATTAACTGCACAATTGCCTTTGAGCCAATTTTATTCTTATCATATAGCAAATGATTTATCACAATAAAATAATTATTTCAAAAAAAGTTGATGCTTAAAGTTGCAACAGAAAGCTCGACAAAAGGTAAGAAGGAGGAATAAAAGATTTAAATGAATAATTATTTCATTGCTAGTTTGAAATATTTTGTCTCAAAAAATAATTCTATATTAATCAGCCAATTAGCATTTCAGCTGAATCAACAAACGTAATTCAAAAGAAGAAGATATGCCATGAAATCGACGATATTAAATATTGTTTCCTTCTTAATGATCCTAACAAACATAGTTCGTTGCTAATTAATTAATTTTTTTCAGCTTTTCTGTGTGAAAAAAAAATTTTATTACTGATCCATGAATTCTGATCAAAATTATTTTAAAACGCAAGGAAACAAATAAATGATAAATGATTTTGCTATAAATGATAAAAACGATTGCTGTTTTTTTTTTTATTTTACTTATTTTTCAAATATA